CAGCTACTCTAGAAATTAAACAAGCATCTGATTAGTAGTTTCATTTTTTTTGTAATAATGATTAACTTCTTAAAAATCGCCTAAAGGAAGGTAACAGCAGCTCCAACAGACGGTTCAGTTGTTTAACAGATACTTTATTTAATCGAATTCGGTCCAGATCTGAATTTTGTAAATTACCGGAGTCTGGCAATATTGTTTCACCGTCTTCAATTCGGCCGTTCACGTATGAAAACTGCGCTGCTTGTGAGTGATAAATTGTGATAAGATTTGTAGCCTCAGTCGACTTTCTACCCGCTCGCAGTCTGTTCTTGTGCCTCACTCAGCTTCCAATGCGTACGCCTTGCGGTCATGCGTTGGTTCGAATTCCACATAAATCGCGGACCTTCCTAGTCAAAACGACAGATAACTGACTTAATGTCATTACATTTATTGTGAAGTGCTTATTTTTGCATGACCGTTGCTTTGTCCAATCTGTATTCATATTTTTGAGAGTGATGCATGCTGATACAAACGTGCAAACACACGATCCGACACGGCACACACATATGTGTGTTTTTCCTCGTCAGATTTATTTCAGCTTCACTGACGGTGTAAGTTGTCCTGGTGTGATTATTTGTCGTTGTCGTGTGTTTGCCTGTTTCTCCCCCCTACCCCCTATGTCTATGTCATTCATAGCTCTGTATTTGTGTTTATTTTGCGTGTGGCTCTTTCTGTTTGTCTCCACCTGTTTGTCTGTGTGTATTTCTCTTCTCATTCGCGTGTGGTTTGCTTTTGACGCGAACTCCGGCAGTTCAAGTGAAATGCAAGAGCGTTATCGTGTTTCCCATTTGGTTGGTTGATCGGTCGATTGCGTAATTTCTTCCCGAGACGACTTCAACTCATGCACCGGTTCCTGTTCTAATGCACTTCAACGGACGCACGCACAAACGCACACATTCATACATAACCAAACACACACATACTTATGCAGAAAAGACAAACCGCCGAGTATTGTGTGATGGATGAAATTGTCCTGATCGGTAAATAGATAAATGCGTTTTGGTTTTGCGATCCTACTGATTCACATCCTAGGTTATGCGATATTTGAATGTCACCATTTTGTGAGGCATGAAACGGTGGTGTTGGTGGTGGCGCAGTGGTTTAATCGCAGTCGCCGGTGCGCTTTGAACCCCAGGGTTCGAGGTTCGAACCCCGCCACCGCCATTCAACTAGGTGGGTGGGCAGCAACGCCTGACTTACTGAGGCATTATGTGGTTTGCTACTCCAGGTCCCAGGGCTTAGGTTTCCGGTTACCATCACTGTACGGCAAGTGTTCTTCACGATGGGGTCCATCCTGTCTGCCGCTCACCAAACTAATGTGTGTAATAATCTTTCTTTAGGCCCAGAAGTTCAATAATAACAAAAATACCTACTCTCGATCTTGGGCTTTGTTTACGGTGTGGTTTCAGTGCCTTCGTACAATTTTTGAACAGGTTACTGGTTCTGAATAAATGCCTACAGATGAAATGGTACGATGTGTTCAAGAGATAAGACTATTTAATAGGAGTATCAGTCTTCGGATTGAAAGATCAATGACTGCTGTTTGAACAACCATGGAAACTTGCCATTTGGGGCACCAATTTTGTCTTGTTTGTTGTCTTTCGGTCGATCAGCGAATAAAAGGAGTCGAAGGCCAATCTAAGCGAAAACAACATTAAGATAAACATCCGGAACATGGGTAAATTCATTGTGATTATAAATAACGCTAGTTTATCGGGGCACCACTGTTTAAAATATGAAGAAGTGTATAGTTAAAATTGCTGACTCAATTTCACTGATCACGACTTTCATATCCTTAAGCCAGGTCATTCCCCCAATTGGCTTTTGTTTAAGCACTAGCCGTCTGTGAAGGGTCGAGTATATACTGCAGCAGTTCGGCCAGTCTTGCTCTATGATGCGGAGACCTGGCCACTACGGGAACAGGATAAAAATAGATAGTCGGTGTTCAAACACTGCTGTCTATGTCGCATTGCACGAGTCTGGTGAGGTAA